AGATATAAAGGCCTTATTTGCTACAGTAGGTACAATAATTTTTGCATGTCTATCTTAAATCCCAGCAGAAGTACAACTGGACCGGTGGCCGATCGTCTCCCCAAACGATCACAAGGACACTTCCATCTAGATTTATTCGTACTGACGGCAAAGCGAATGTGATCCGGACAAATAGCCGACGTCCGGCGACCCACGTGCGCCCACACCAACTTTTTAGAAGTTGATAATGCATAGTGCAGTTTATTACTACGGTTAATATTTATTTGGTGAGAAATGACCTGCCAACAAAATGGAATTTACCCGGTGATCTGGGGGTAATTGCCTCCGAGGCAAAGAGGCCCCGAGAGCCCCAACTACAAACTTATAGAAGGGTGAAGACACCCGGATTGCATACAATATATATAATTCGTCATTTTTTTATAATATACAGACTCGCGTCACTAGAATCATGTAAATGTGTGAAACTGTGATATTTGCAATCAATTTCATATATATATTTGTTTTGTCGGTCCGTGCTAACTGTTATAAAATTTGATTTTAATTAAATGAGGCACACCCGTGATTAAATGAAAAAATTCCCTTCTTATCTAAGCGAAATAAAAAATGTCTAATATTAAATTGCAAACTGAAATAAATACGGTTATTTTTATTTATTATCAGAAAAACATGCCAAACACTATTACCAACCTCCTCGAACGAGGGCTTGTGGGTTGTGTGGTATTTAACCCACTAATACCCATCATTGCCGACGTGAACTTGAAGGTAAATCAAGTTGTGAAAAAAATTGGTGAGTTTATCATCTCTGTATTTAGATATTAACCGCGCCGCTCAACTATTTTGTCGGCTCATTAATTCTACTATTATTTATAACTTGCCTATCAAATGCGACTCGTCAAATTAGGTTCTCGAGCCACATTAATGATTTATCATACATACCAACAGCCACATGACAGCGTCTATTAGTTACAGCAATTAGAAAGTAGTATTTATTAGTGCTAAAGTGGACACACTCAATAAAATATTGTCCTAGATTCAACGGAATTATTGAAATACAAATTATTTTCTTATGAAGTGTACAAAATTAAAATAAACAGTTTTAGTTCAGAGTAGAGAAAGATTAAAAATAATGTATATAACCGTATTTCGTATCTAGGTAAAAGTATACTATATACATATTAAACTTGTAAATCAAGTTATGCCTTTTCAAAAGGTAATTCTAATTTTATAAGTAATTTGCATTTTTAATATTTTTAAACTATTTTATCCGTACTTAGCAAAAGTTACTCAATGTTTATTACTTTTTCTCGATTACACTACTCCACGGACTTTAATGAAATTTGACATGAAAATAGATTACATCATTAACTCAGATATATGCTTATGTTCTATTCCACAAACTGGTCTGGAAAGGTTGTAGTAGTGAATAAAAGTTTGTGCAGACGAAGTCGCAGGTATCAGCAAGTATAAATATAGTTTCATCAGGCCACAGCAGCTGCGTCAATAAAATTTATTGCATTAATTATAGCACACAGCTCATTAATTATTATCATCTAGTGATGTCGACTTAAAGAGCTCACTCAATATGAAGGCATGAGTCAGGCGGCATTCCTGACCTTATTACTGCGCATTATCTACAGATAAACGTGCAATGCTCCTTATGTAACATCTTAATGTAGAACTAGCAGCCAACTGTGACTTCGTCTGCTTTTTTTGAGTTAAAAGTACATCTACATCCATTGTTCTGATATTCATACAATCTATACATTAAATTTCAATAAGATTGTTTCAGCCGTTTAATCGTCAAATGCCACAGACACGACATATTTTCGCATTTATAACATTTACTGTAACCAGCGACTTCGTCTGTTATTATGAAAGTCCTCAAGATAAAATCTATTTTCATACATAATCTTATTTTCTATCAAATATTATAATAATAACAATTCACATAACGTCACCTACTCCCGAGATAAGAAGAGCTTGTGTTATAAGTACTAAACAACTGATACAAATACATTTTTTTTTGTAAATACATAATATACATAGAAAACATCCAGACAATACAAGCAATCATACTCTTGAATACAAATGTTTGTACCGTGAAAAGAATCATACCCGCGACCATAGGAAGTAAAGCGGTGTTCTAACCCGCTAGACCAACGAAGCCATAAAACAAATAGATACATATTGTTATAAATGCAAAAGTATATCTGTTTATTAAGTTTTCACGACAAATCCGTTTGAACGGATGTTAATAAAATTTGATGTGAAGAAATTGTATCACAAGGACAAGCATAGGTTATTTTTTAAGGAAACGAAATCACGAGTGCTTATATTATTATAAGTAAAAGTCAACAGAAATTAAAAACACTTATAAACACGTTTCCACGAAATTATATCGTCATGATCATGATCATGATATACCTTTACTTAGCGTTGAGTTACATACTCAGGTGCGTACATATCGTGTTACGAGAATCATCAGGTGTCATCATGTTTATAATGGCGTGATGACTGGTGCTATTTATGACAACTAAATACAGCGATGTTCAATTGAAGTGCTGTAGGTAGTAATAAACCGAATTACATATAAATTTTATTAAACCTGTTTTGTTAAACATTTAAATATAATTTTAGTTACAATATAGTCTATTACAATATACAATAATCGATACTCCGATCGATCCCATAATTCACACGAGGATGGAAATTACGACGGCCTGGGCCGAGGTTCAAACCCCTAGCGGTGGCCTCAAACTAAAGTCGTATCCGTTAGGCGGGAGTTGGCCTTCAACAGCTCTATAATTCTTTCCGCGGGTTTCAAGTGTCATCTGCTTTCACCCCCTATCGTCCGGTAAAGCTGTAAAGGCTAGTTTGTATGGGAGTTTAAATTGTTGCTTTTACTATTTTCCGTGCAATTTCTTCATTCTTTATCACCACTGAAATCTTCCTTAGAGTTGTACAAATATTTAAAAACCAAAATTTGCCAAATCAATTCAGCCGCTCTTGAGTTTTAGGAAGCTAATAAACGTCATTTGATTTTTATACATAAGAAGAAAAAGTTTTGTATTTTCTACATTAGTATTGCAGTTATTTAAATGACATTTGTTTAATACACGATATTTATGAATTTAATCATAATGACTGACCTAATCGATTTAATTCTAGATTTTACTGCGTTAATAAATTACAATTTGAGTAAGCCGACTTAATAAAACGGCATTGGCACTGGCGCTCGCTTGAAACGGCATGCATATTATTATTTGCAGACACAGACGCAAGATATGAACTAGGTGCAAATTACAATTTACGATACACGTAAATTGTTATTATTATAGTTTTGTGTTTCATTTGTCTATATCCTTAATAGTTCTGTTATATTCGAATAAAAAACATGCCTTTAATGATGCAAAATTGGGAAATAGACCACTACATGTACAAGTTCCATTGTTAATTTTTTAGACTTACTCGTAGTTCAATATTTTTTCAATATCAGGTTACTCTGGAAAAAGTAATACCCAGTTATTTATCAGAACTATCTTCGCTTACAACCAACTTAAAAAAGAAGGGTTCCTCAAAATGACTGAATTTTTACATGTGTTTTCATGGTGCTTCACATATGAGTCCTACTGGCAACTTGCTTAAGATCCGACCTGAAGTTTTTGAGTAATCATTAATAATGCGATTAAAGTATTTTATAGATTTTTATTTTCATAAAAGCCTTGACAGTCATTGATGGGGATGTTGTAGCGATTGGTCTAACGATTTTGTTCGGTAGAACTTGTTACGTCACAGCACATGACAGTCTCCCACGAACATTAAAACTGAGAAATGCATTTTACTTTTCTAACGCAAAGTACACAAAAGGTGTGTATAATTTATTTTATATTGACAACTAATTACACACATTGTGTTTATTAATTGTAATATCATTACAAATTAAAATCATAAATATTTCACATTTTTGGAAATTGAACAACCAAAATTGTCAAACGTATAGTTCAGTTATATTATAGTACATATATTGTACAATAATAATTTTATTACTTTAATTACGATAATTAACAACATAATAAATACTACTTAATCCTATAGTCATTACTTCCAGCAAACTGATATATGTATATTCAGATACCTATCATTAAAATCGCATAATCATGTATTATTATACATTATTTTTCTAATGAACCACGTTATAATGTGTTAATAATAATAATTAATTGAATGCAATTGGAACTGGCTTGAAACTGCAAACAGACAGCAATTATGCATGCCCGTTTAAATATACACTCAGTGTAAAATACGAGTTTCGAACCGTTCCGTAATCTAGCAGATATTAATTAAATTGTTGACTATAAGGTAAATCATAGTAATTTATATGATCACGACATTTACTATACTATATTGTGACTTGTTCAGATATATATTATCCATTATTATAAAACTAATTATCATTTTAATTATTCGAAAACTATCAGTATCAGTTCTTGTTTCATCAATTATTGAAATTTTATTTAATTTTCTATTTCAATGCCATGGTGTTGTAATATTTCCAGAATATATAATATGATTTATCATTTGACATTCTACAATAGTATGAGTTTTTTACCGTCCCATGAGTTATTTACAGTTATATTAGCAATATGATTGTTTATAAACTTTTGGTGTTTGAATAGGTCAGTCAAGAGTGAGGCCACGACAATTTAAAAAAATTGTGTAATCCTTATGAAATAATAGAATTTTTATAGAAGTAAACATGCCTGTAAAAACAGTTATTTCATACACATATTCTTTATTAACTTTAAATTGATACAGTATCATTTTAACGGACTGTATCCCATTTCATTAATCTTGTAATTATTTGGATGAAGTGTTTAAAAATAATTTTCATGTTTATACTTTATTTCTTCACTTTTTGGGTTCGGCTTCATACCGTTTATAACTAAACCAATATATTTTTATCAAACGAATACCATATTATGTAGGTATAATAGACTTACCTGTGCGATACCCAGCATTGGAGAGGTATGTGGCGAAAGTGTTAGTCTCATGTGTTGCCTGCCACTGCGGCGAAGAGCAATTGTCGTTATTTGTGTACACATTGTGGTTATGTACATAAACCCCCGTGAGTAGAGAACTCCTGCAACAATAATACAGAAGCAATCCTTTACTAATCTATCCAACACTAGCTAATTTCAAAAGCATTTTCTTTGATGAAAAGGTTCAAACCAAGTAAGTCAATTTAAAAAACTCTTTTGATTAAAATTTAAATTTCGATAGATAGAATATATCAACTCAAATTAGATAAAAAAGATATCGTGTAACATAAATACTAAAATACAGTCAAATAGGGAAACCATTTATATTTGATACTAACAATTCCCGTGACTTCGTCCGCGTGGAATATAACTTTATTTTTCTAAAATAAAAGTAGCCTAAGTTACTTCTTATTACATCAGCTACCTGCCAAAATCAAAATGGGTCCAATCATTTCAGAGATTAGCCGGAACAAACAGACCGACAGACAGACAGACAAAAATTATAAAAAATATTATTTTGGTATATGTACCGTATATATATTCATATGCATGTAGTAAAAAACGGTTATTTCAATATTACAAACAGACACTCCAATTTTATTTATATGTTATATGAATTTAAAAATAATACTTCTAATTAATGTACAAATTGTAATCGAATAATTTTATAGCTAATAATGTGTTTACTTATATGTAATTACATTAAAATTATCCATGTTAAAAATAGCTATGCTACAACTAGCTATACTGTACAACACAACAACTGTACTGTATTGTACTGTACAACAAGTTAAACAAACATACCTTGATGGACAGCACATAGGTGTTGTAGTATACGCATGCCGGAATTCTGCTCCAGCACTCCTTATCGTTTTCATCGTTCTTGGCATGAAATTCAGACTTCCCAGTTCTACGTCCTGATCATCAGTCAAGATAAGGATAATATTAGGTTTTCTTTCTCGTGGCTGGGGATAAGGAATATAACCACCACCCTGCCATTTATTCATAACTCTCAATCTAGACCTTGTCGAGTTCTCCTTTACTGGTAAAGGATGAGACGGTCTATCCTTGCTTTGGTTTACAGGTCTTCGGTTTGGAGTTTTCTCCGCGTTGCTTCTGTTCCAATGTCTATCATTTTTTCGCGATTTGTCATCTCTTTTTATGTCAGACGGTTCAATGGTCGGATTGGGAGCACTATAATCTTCATTAGAATGACTAGCTGACAGTTTCCTTCGGTCTCGCCTCGTTTCATACTCCCAAGCCCTATGCCTATCTCCTCGAAATTTGGAACTATTTCTATGCCTCAAGTTTCGTCGCTCAGGAAGGTCAGTCAATGTGCCATTGAATGTTGTACGATTTCTATTATTCTCTCTATTTCTTAACATCCTTGCTCTAGCAGTATCCTCTTCTTCAGCTGAATCAATTTTAGCCGATATCAATATAAAATTGCATGTCAAGAGTAGTGGTATGATGTTGATATTCATATTGAGATTTTTATTAATACAATTTTATGATAAAATGTACTTCTATGAAGTTATTACTGGCGGCTAATCAATGTAATATTGGTAATCTATGTGGTTAATATTTTTAGCGACCAACATCGATTTTTTGTTCGCGGGCACATCTTGAGTCAGCACCTACGGAAAAAAAGCATTACATTAATAAATTGTCATGCAATAAACTTGCTATTATATCAGAAAATAGTAATGAACTGTCAATGCTTCGCATTTATAAGGTAAGTATGCCTATTCCATGTTTACTGTGCATATTGAAATATGTTCTGTTTGGCTAGCAATCAATACGGAAACTATTTAATGGCATTCCTCTAGCCAGCAACTGCGAGTTGCTTTTAACAGAATTAGACCAATATAGGTTGATTCGTCGATTGAGAAATGCGAATTACTTTTTACATGCAAACATTAAAATGGATTTTATGCTTACTAAAGGAACATTCATATATACGAGTATAAATGCCTTAATAGTATAGGTAACTACAACATATTATTTTGGAAATAAACTTAGCAGTTTGTGCTCTTCTCTTAATTTAAATACTTACAAAACTAAGCTAATAAGTGATTTCGAAATGATTGCGTTTAATATTTGATATGAAAAGGACTTAATGATAACTATAATACATTTAACCATATATATATATATACACATATAATAAAACAAAGTCCCACCATGTTTGTTCGCAATAACCTCAAATACTACTGAAGGAATTTTAGTGCGGTTTCTATCCATGAACAGAGTTATTTCTGAAGTAGGTTTAAAAGTACCACTATTACGGTTTTGGCGTGAGTGCGGGTCCCCAGTAAAACAATATGAAACAACCCACTTTTTTATCATTCATTAATTTCTGTTCAATCACAAATCAATGTCGATTGCACGTCAAGGGTGTATCAGTTGATACAGTGAGCGTTTCATCGTGATTTATACTCGTCCAGTTTGTATGTCTGCACTGTTGTAATTGATAGGAGAAAGACGACAACCGATCGATATCTATACATACGTATGTATAACAAACAACTGACCGCTGTCTGCACATAAGAGACATATTAAGACCTATTAAGTACAAGAGAACTATATCAACGTCTTGGAAGTAAAAACAATGATCGTTAGAATTTTTTACGGCAGGTTGTGCGTTTGGAGCGCTAATATTTAACTTAGATTGGGTTGTGGTTCTAACTAATGTATTGTATGTAATTGTAATTTAGTTTTAGATTAATTTCAACTGATTTACAAACAAAAAAGTTATAAGGGTGCAAAATCGCGGTGTTTGGCTAATTATTATTTTATTTGAACCAGTAAACTTCGTAAGTAATAAATTATAGTGTTTATAGACGGCTATTATCAGTAGTAGAAACGTCGATAGGTACTATTATAAGCGTATTTTTTATTTGTTCGTTTGTATAATAATTATAATTTTAACAAAAGTCTAGGTGCCTACGATTCCTAGAATACATATCTTATTATTTTAATATTTGAATGAAAGTTTGTGAGTATGGATGGATGTTTGTTACTCTTTAACACAGAAAGTACTGAGCGGATTTTGATGAAACTTTACAGTAATATAGCTTATATATCAGAATAGCACATAGGCTAAAAATATCAAGCGGGCAAGCCGCAGGTACAGGTTGTTTGAAATAATGTGTAGACAATTCAAGAAGTATTTTTATACTTTACGTTTTCGTACCTACATCAAATTATAACAGCTCTTTTGTCAATAACAAACGAACATACATAAAGTATACAAAGTAACAATTTCAGTTCTAAAACAATTTGCATAAAATATTAATAATGTTGCTGTGGCTTATGGTACAACAAGTTCTGTTCTTATTTAGACGATGTAAGCACGCTGAGTTCACATTACGATCGCTACATTTAGCGACAGTTTAAACGTTGGCTAGCGTTTGTTTTATTTGAAAGAACATCGACCCTTCACGTTGTTTCAGTATCAACATATTTAGGTCTGTTAATTTAATGACACAGAAACAAAATATCTGTCATTAATATTCTGTTACTCCTGGTAGAGTACCTGTGGAAATGTATTTTGAAAACAATTTCACTAAATTAAAACTATACCTAGAAACTATAGATTATATTAAAGCTGAACAAACAACAGTTACATTAAAAAATAAATTAAAAGAAGTACTAATGCAAAAAGATACAAGTCCATTAGAGAATGTGATAATCAACATCATTATTATTATTACCAAGTATAAAATAAAGTCGCTGTAGCTGTCTGTCCCTATGTGTATTTTAAATCTTTAAAACTACGCAACGGCTTTTGAAGCGGTTTTTTTTAAAAGATAGAGTGTTTCTAGAGATCTATTCTATATGTATATATAATGTACACCCGTGCGAAGGCGGGGCGAGTAGCTAGTCTAATATAAAGTAAAATTAACATGTATCTATTCGCAGGTATTTATAATTACTTGTGACTTTTATGAATTGTATAATTTACTGTAAATATTTATAAATTTAATATTTACTGTAGCAAATTGCAACACACTTCCAGGGCTCATATGATGTGAGTAAATTTAATTGTAAGATCTTATTGTAACCTACGTTTAGTAAACAAATATGCAGTACCTCTTACGAGTGCGATAAATAAATTAATTAATTAACAACAAAGATTCATGATATATATTCATACTCGCCGTGTACTAAAGTAAATTTAGTGACTAAGTACTTTGTAAAGTAGTTTAATTCAAAACCGTTATTCAAACTTTGCAATTTCCAAATTTAAATTAACCTAACTGATTAGTAATAAGTGTGTAAAAGCTTTTTTTCGGGGCGTAGTATATTAATTTAGTCATTGATTACTAAAGCACCGTGATTTTTGAAGTGAAGACGTTAATGTTCAATTCAACATCACTTTACTACCTACAATTTCATAAACGGGTACAAATATTTCAAAAACACACTAAATTGAGTTATTATAAAAAGGGTTTGTAATAAAAATTCGCAGTTCCAGTAAGTATCTGCACACTATTCCCCATTATACTGAACTATCTGTAATCCCTACTCTATATATTTACGAACGTGCACTGGAAACCAATCTAGAGCCAAAGAAATCAGCAATCATGTAATCAGCATTAGGCGCGACTGACGACATTTTAAAAAGTCCTCCATTACCTATGTATTGTTTATTTTTAATAAACTGGCATTACAAATTTTGATAATACGTATTTTAATTAATTTCTAAAGAACCTCGAAGCGTAGTACGTAATGTTAATAATGAACCCTTATAAATTAGAAGCTAATCACCCAATTCAGAAGTTTTAGCAGCCAACGGTGGCGGATGCTTTATGTAAATCTCCCTAATGGTTCCCGGAAAACAAACTTCTGATTCTTCAGTTTTAGAAACATTAATTCCCTTCGAAAAGAGGGAGAGGTAAGTGTGCCGCATAAGGGTCGATTTTATAGACGGGTCAATGCGCAGAACGCTCGAATATTACTCCAGCCCCATAAACGGAAATTAAGTTTAAAAGTCACATATATTACAGGAGCATAAAGATAAACTATTATATTAATTGAAACGTAAATAATTTATAAAGCTACGTTATAGTTTTCTGAAAAATTGTAATTTATCCGAGGTAGATTACATAAAAAGTCGTCTGCATGGATGCTGCTTCAGTCTCACCTATTTCAGCCCGTAATAAACTTGTTTTGTGAACTGTTTCAGTTGGAGAATTTAGGTAGTGATGTTACAGGATATGGAGACATAAGATGTTAGTTCTCCGGAATAGCAACTTGTGCATAGTATCACGGCATCACATGAAAACGTCATGTCCGTGGTGCTATTCATGTACTCGTATATATGGTTAACATTTTCTATTTAGTGGGTTGTCAGCTCGTTTTCCATTACATTTACATTACATACATAAAAATAATATTATTAACATTTAAAACTATTTATCATTTTACATTCTTTAAAACTAGATTGAAAACATTTTATTTTATTAAGTATTACTACACCCTATTATATTTTTTTTTGTTCATTCATGTATTTAATTCCGGACTTTATTGAATTTGATTATTTTTATTTTCAGGAATTTATTTAATTATAATTACTTCAGTGACCATATTGCAATGACCATAAATACTTCAGTTGATCTATTGCACTATGCTTGCTGACATAACAAAATTTATTATTAACATAATAGTAACTTTATTATGTTATCCCCCACAATTTATATTGTTATGGATGAATAAATAAAAAATATACCTATAGCACGTAACGATCAGTATTCATTATTTCTACCCAATAAAAAAATCAGAGTTTAAAGTAGAATGTAGTGCGACTGACATGCTGATCATTAATTGAACATTTAACCCTTAAAGAAACTAATGACCCAATCTAAGATTAATCTGAAATTAAACGAAACAGCGCTTTGTAAAATTTGCAGGTACCTATTAAACTGTAATTGTGTATTATTGTTAGTATACGAAATAGAAATGATTAAAAGTTGGGTACAAAGTTAAGACATTCATCGTTAGAATTATACATTAAATTAAATCTGTGGTTATGCAGTAAATATTCGCTTGACAATTTTATTGCATTCTTAATATAGTTAATCGCGTCTTAACACGAATAATTTTATGGTAAATAAAGGTATTTACCTTTCTCGTAGTTTCGACTAAAATGTGTTTCAAACACGAATGTTATAAAAAAAATATTGGAATGAAAGTTATAACTATATAAAGATTACTTAAGACTTAAACAAAGAAAAATACAGTATGTGGATATTTTATTGTCATTTAATTGTGTGCAAGAAGAATGAAATGTTTTTTATTATTACCATAGAGGTTAGCCTCCTTTTCATAAATATACCAAACGTATAAACTTGTTTTACCTATTTAACTGTGATGTCCTTTCCTTGTTTTCTATTATGAAAAACCAAATTTAAAATAAAACTGTACAATTTATAAAAAGATTCTTACTTTTATATAAATTTGAAAATAGTAGAATTTTTAATTATGCTTTCTGCAATTACAAATTGTTAATTGCAATTTTGGCATGTTTATCTTAATTTCCCATTGGTTACTTAATCCAGATTTAACCACGATGGTATCCAGAGAGAACTACGTTTCGATAATAACAATGCCCTCACCCCTATACCTATATTAT